GTTTTTTTTTTTTTTTTTTTTTTTTTTTTTTTTTGTCTCTCTTGCTACCAGCTGAAGTGAACACCATCAACGAGAGCACTGAAATCCTTCACTTGAGCCCTGCTGTCACATCTGAGTATGTGGGTGAGAAGGCAGAGAAGAAGGCTGAGTTCTGTGACCGCTCCTGTGAAGAGCTGGGAACAATGTTCACAGAGCTCACTGGCCTGCGCATTGTGGTGAACAACTTAGTTGATAACCTCCAAAAAGTGGTAGGTACTTGTAAGTCTGAAGAACTGAAAGAGGTCTGTTGTCCAGTACTCTTTCCTTCTTTGTTTATACCACAGGCGGTTAATAGAGGTTTCTGTATGTACGTGTGCATACGTGTATGTATATCTACATAATGTAGAGATGACCTGCATTTTCAGAGTTATTAGTTAGGTAGTTCTTGAGTATAACACTTTAATGAAGGCTTGGTTTTCACAGACTGGATTTAAAAGAACATGCATACATGCACTTATATACAGAGGAAATCAATCATCTTTAAGGTATTGCAGGTTTGGAAATTAAAAGCTAACAAACCCAGCCTTGCTTGTATACTGTTGAAGTATTGTTACCATGCTTATACCATTTATGAATACAACAGCAAGTGGCTACACAAGGTACATAAACTGTAATTAAACATATGGGATGTTCATAGCTGAAGTAAGATAGTGACATGTTACTGAAGTCTGCCCCTCTTCATTTTCTGAATAAGTTAATCCTTTCTGAAGAAGGTTTATTGCTATGCCATATGTCGCAGGACTAAATCTTCGCATCTAAAGATGAGTTGTATTGCAGGGAAGCAAAACTACTAAGAACAGATTTCCTATAGTATTGCGTGACTGTGTTGCATAGAATTTCTATGCAGTATTGCAGTACCTGAGATCTTCTACTTTATGTACATAAATATGTAAAAAATGCACTTTTTAATGGGAGGATGAAATCCAGTAGTGTCTGTTTTGTCTTATTTAAAATGGTTTGTTTACTAGGTACACATTTTTTTTTCATTTGCTTCACCTTCTAGTCTGAAGAGAACCAAATTATGTGGGAATTGATTGGGCCTAACAAGACACTGAAGAACCAGTCAGTTTGCTGGCAGGATGGCCGTGTCTTTTCAGATAATGAAAGCTGGATTGTAGATAGCTGCACCAAATGCACCTGCCAGGTGAGATTTTGTAAACATTCTTTGCAAAAATGGATAGTGGGTTTGCTCCAGGTTAGGTCATACTTACTCAGAGCCTCATCTAGGCTTACTAATATTTATAAAAACTAGTCCTCATGTCCATGACGTTTAGAACAAATCAAATACTTTCCACACATGAAACTTTCCCCAGGTGCCCACCTTGTTTGCCTCTGTATATGAGCATAAGTCAGTAAGTTCATTTCTTTGCCCATAGGATTCTAAAATTGTGTGCCATCAAATCACCTGCCCAGCAGTGTCCTGTGCCAATCCATCTTTTGTTGAAGGCGAATGCTGTCCAGTCTGCTCTCACTGTGAGTATTTAGCCAAAGAGAAAGATAGTATTTGACAATATTTAAAATCACTACTGCTGTGCTGAGGAGATCAAAAAAAGTAAGAAGCTGAGGCCAGGAAGATCAAATAAAAAACTTACATGTATACAAGGATCCTATGAAGTAATGTGGCTGTTTGAAGTTATCTTCTGGATGTGTTGGTTTCTCTTCAGTGATTATAATGGTTGCTTAGAAGTAAGCTTGTAACTTGCCTAGCCAAGTTGGACACTAAAGGTTAGATGCATACTCCTCCATAGTAATGTTTTTCAAGGCTGGAGGTTCTGATTTGTGTTGGTTTGCAATAACACTGTGCAAACTATTGTTTCTTTTCCATACTGCCTGGTTAAAACAGACTAACATAGGTTAGAGTGTTGTCTTGTCTCCTTGTGGAGGTTGTTGAAGTTCCAGACCAAAAGTTTTATGCAGTTTGGTGCAATATTTATTAAGATTTAGTTATTTTTCCTCTCTGTTGCTGTCATTCTGTTACTCTGGTTTATTTCTTCTCTGTCATATATCCTCGATTTGTATAATGCTTTACTTGCATGGAACAGATTGTCAAAGTTCATTTTAGACAGCATTGCAGGCTGTGAACTAAACTTTGGGGTGACAATAATAGTAATTTCACTAATTAAGTGACTTCAGTGTGGATTCAATACACTTCACTCTGTACTAGGCAGGTCTGTTACAGAAGAAAACATTACCTAGATGATCTACATAAAAATACAGTGGAATATACTCAGTTTTTATGCCTATACAAGCATAGGTCATATTCTTAAAATATGCTCTTGATCACGTTCACTGTTATGTTGTGTTCAGAGGTGGGGCTATATCTTGCCATACTGACTTATATTCTCAAGTCAAAGGCAGTTGGAACTCGAGTGTTTGGCTCAGTCCATTCTAGTGATAAGATGTTTTTCTGTCAACAGTCAGTGCCTCATGCAAACACACTGCATACAAGTTCATGAAGATCCAGGATTCTTATGTGTGCTAACCTCTCATTACATTAAACCATCATTCTCCAACTTTAGTGGCAGCTCAGGAAAGCAAAATTAGAAAAAGAAAGGACAAAGCTTATGTTCTACAGACAAAGACAAGTGAAAATCTTCTAAGCAAGATAATAGAGCCACTTTCACTGCTGATTACATTTTTGTACTTTTTGCTTTGCAGCTGATGACAGTGAGGAAGGCTGGTCACCATGGTCAGACTGGACAAAGTGCTCAGTTACCTGTGGCTCTGGGACTCAGATGCGAGGAAGGTCATGTGATGTCACCAGGAGTGCTTGTACAGGCCCGCACATCCAGACAAGGATGTGCAGCTTTAAGAAATGTGACCATCGCAGTAAGTAATAAAATTTCTTCCTTTTTTTAAAGCTTCTTTGGACTTCTCTAAGCAAAAACAAGCTTAGTCTGGAATTGCTGTGAACACCTACTAGTCATAACAGTATGTACTTGAACACTCATATACACATAATTAAAGTAGCTATCATTAGATTCTTTGTCATTTCCTCCCTTTCAAATATTTTTCCTTTTCCTGATAATTTAATAGGTGTCTGCATTCTGGGCTCAGCTCTCTTAAACAAAAAGATAGTGGGTGATCTTTTCTTTAACATTATGAACTGGAGTCTCTTGTTTGAAGTCAGTTTGGATACAACACTCAATTCATAATCATGATACATGGAGCCACATTTTGATCTGCAATTCATTCATGATTATTGTCCCATTCCATTAGCTTAGTAGTGTTTAGCAATGCAGTAATCATAGAAGACTTTTGCAAAATATCAAACTGCTTTTATGTTTAAGGTACTTGGAAAGATCATACTCTGTCTCCAGAACTGTAGTTAATACTATGGCAGGTAGCTGCTATGGCCAGGCTACTATAGTACCTAAGACTATTGCTGAAGCTATTAGATGTCCAAATGTGCATTTTAAACAAGTATTTGTTTCATTAGAATAAGTTTATTTTTAAGTAAAATGCCTAACATAAATGTTAGCTGTACTTGAATGTCTGAGCTTTTTAAGTGGTAGGAAAGAGATGGGACATTCATCAGATGGGATGAGAGGCTTATTAGAAGGTTAACCTCACAAGTGAGTTTGTATTACTGCTGCAGGTGGGCTATTTCCTTGAGTTTTGCTCTTTTCTCTGGCAGTACGTCAAGATGGTGGCTGGAGTCACTGGTCTCCCTGGTCATCCTGTTCAGTTACCTGCGGAGTAGGAAATATCACCCGCATCCGCCTCTGCAATTCCCCTATCCCCCAGATGGGTGGGAAAAACTGTGTGGGGAATGGGCGTGAAACAGAGAAGTGTGAGAAGGTTCCATGTCCAGGTATGTCTGTTGTCTTGAATCCAAGGTGATGCAACAATATTCCAGCTGAATTTCTTCTCTTTATTCAGATCTAAATTACAGTAAATTTCTGTGATGGAAAATACAATTTGTAACTTGGGGGTGAAGTAATACATAAGGGTGCTTTTAAAATTAAGGCAACAGTGCAGGCGGAGGTTTTGTAAACTTCCTAAGTTATCATTTGTCTTTAAGAGTTTGAGAAATTTTAATTTTATAACTTAATGATCTATCTCTGCATATCAAAAATATAAACACTTTCTATCTAAAAGGAAGCTGATACTGGACATATTAGGAACAAACATGTAGTCCCCCAATAGCCAGGCTTCTTTGAAAGTATGCATACATATTTTACACATATTTAACACGTTTAATTGTTGTTACAATTCTTTCTTCCTCATCTACAATTGTTAACCTTTTTAGAGACCATTCATTCCACTCACTTTCCTTTCATATAATTTTTCCCTCACATTTTTCCCTTTGTATATCTTTCTTCATTCCTTCCTCTGTTCAGTCTTTCCTTTCTACTTATGGGATATGAGCTTGAAACTGATGTGAAGCTTCTAGCCCAATAGTACTGAAGTAGCTATACACACTTCATCTATTTTTTGATTTACCTGTGCACATGAAATTAGTGAAGAGGTTATTTATTTATTTAAGTACACGCACTGTTGCCCTTACATTTTCTTTTTTGCTGTACCAAGAACACAGAGTTTGGTTCAAAGACATTTATATTTCAAGAAAATTCAGGATTGATGACAACAGGATCAGTAGAGCTGTACCAATATAAAACAAGCAGAAAAATCATTGAAATAAGTTATTTATACTGAGTCAAGCAGTACTATCAAAGATACACTGATGAATGGATTAAAAACCAGGAATAATAGCTGCAACCCTACTGAGAGTACTTTTTCCTTAAAAAAACAAAACAAAATATGGAGTTCAGGTTTGGCTCAGCACAAGTTTGTGTCCTGTGGTCACACCCTGCTTTCTGTGCAAAATGAAAACTTAATAGAGAGCTTTGAAAGCACTGTACTTGTTCTGATCAACTTAAATTGAAATGCACCATGGCAGTGGGCATGGCATGTTGTTTTAATTATTGGCCAAAAAAAGTCTGTAAAGCAGTTGAGTATTTTTTATTTGTTTGTTTCTGAAATATTATTATCTCAGTATAAGGCTTTGCCATCATCTTTTTTTCCTATGTGCGTAGTGAGAAACTGTCTCCAGTCAGGGATCTGAAGAAAGGCTTGTTGTCATTGTCATTAAATGTTGTCCCCAGTGTATTGCCTGTGGTGCTCTTCTCCTCTCTTCTGCATATCCTAGTGAATGGCCAATGGGGTCCTTGGTCTCCATGGTCTGCCTGCACTGTTACCTGTGGAGGAGGAATTCGTGAGAGGTCTCGCCTCTGTAACAGTCCAGAGCCACAGTATGGAGGAAAACCATGTGTGGGAGATACCAAGCAACATGATATGTGCAATAAGAAGGATTGCCCAATTGGTTGGTATTTGGTCATTCTTTTTTCAGTTTGAATAGTTGTTATTGCTGTTATTTCTTTAATGGATAATTATGAATTTCCACTACAGAAATCTACTAATTATACCTCTGTTTCACAAAAGCACATTTAACTATTTTGAGTGCTGTTTAGATCAGTGGGATTTTATATATATTCTTAATACTGACTTCTGAACAAAGATGTATTTCTTTTACAAGGTTTCAGTATGCTGTAATATATTCAACAGGATGTATCAGTCTGTAATATTTTCATATTAAAGCAACAGGATATTAAATGCATTTAATAACACAAATCCTAAGGAATTTTAGAAGTCTGTTGCATCAGATGTGATTTAAGCTAATGAACAGAGAATACCTGTTTCTTAAATGTAGGGTCACATACCTTTTATACTAATCTAATTTACACTTCTATGTGTCTTTGCCAGATGGGTGTTTGTCAAATCCTTGCTTTCCTGGAGCAGAATGCAACAGTTACCCAGATGGGTCTTGGTCATGTGGGCCATGCCCAGCAGGTTACCTTGGCAATGGTTCTGTCTGTGAGGATCTTGATGAGGTATTGGCTTTGTTTCCATTGACATCAGGAAGTCATTGTGAAATTTTTATTATTTGGGAATTACACAGCCATGTAATTGATTTCTTCTTTCTTTCTTTTCCTGCAGTGTATAGCTGTGTCAGATGTTTGCTTTAAGGTGAATCAAGTCCATCGCTGTGTGAACACAAATCCAGGTTTCCACTGCTTGCCATGTCCTCCACGCTATAAAGGTAGTCAGCCCTATGGGGTAGGGCTGGAAGTTGCCAAGACAGAGAAGCAAGTAAGTGATGTCGAGGAGAATTTGATGATTTTGAAACTGAGTAATTTTCACCTGAAAATATCCATGAATGAAAGCATGTGATGAATTTGTGTATGAAGTGAAGATAACCTGAAACAGATAACTGCTGTTCCAAGGTATTATTGGTTTGAGTAGCAAAACACTGAATTTGGGATTAGTTTTTTAAGGATTTTATTTTCTCTAAGCATCTGCATAGTTGCACCAAATGAGTATAAAATGCCAGAAGCAAGTATTCCCCTGCTAACAAAACACTGAATTTGGGGTTAGTTTTTTAAGGATTTTATTTTCTGTAAGCATCTGCATAGTTGCACCAAATGAGTGTAAAATGCGAGGAGCAAGTATTCCCCTGCTTTGCACTCCCTTCTCTCAGGTGTATATACCTACTCTGGGGATTGGAAACTGAAGAATTGGGATCGTTCTCTCCATAAATATAATGCTGTTAATGTGGTTGTAATCAGACATATGCCTGAAGTTCTCAGTCCCTAAATTCAATTGGGCCAACACCTATCAGTGGTGAAGGACAGAAGGAAGTGGAAGTGATACTGAAGACTACAATTTGGTAGACAAGACAAAAACGTTAAAACGGATGTCATAGGATGCCTTTGTTGCTGTTGAGTCAGTCTGTGGTTAGCTCAACATGTGAAATCTAAATGTAAAACGTCTGAGTAATGTTCCCAGATACTGTCATGAAAATAAGCAAAGTGATAAGAAAGAGGTAACAAAAACTTACTTGAGGGGAACACGAGAATTTGTTTGGGTCTGTGATTTAAGAAAATAAGATCGTACTTAGATACTGACAGAACGCTGAAGGAAAGAGATGAGTGCAGTCTACTTTCTGATGCACTTCATTTCTGGGGATTAATGACATCTGGAAGAAAGCAGATAGAGTTCTGAAAATGTTAATCACTTTAATTGTTTTTTGAATTATGTCCAACTTTCCCTGTGGTTTGTTTCAATTATTTTCATTGTACACATTGTGAACTGACAGAGCAGTATGACTTACTAACCACAATTAACACAAAGTTCCCGTCTTTAGGCATCTAAATAACTGGCCTGATTTTGAGAAAAGTTGAGGCACACACAGCTGGCTGTGAATATCATCAGGTTTCAGTGAGTGCCCTCTATGTTACAGGTCTGTGAACCTGAGAATCCATGCAAGGACAAGACACACAGCTGCCATAAGTCTGCAGAGTGCATCTATCTGGGCCATTTCAGTGATCCTATGTACAAATGTGAATGTAGGACAGGTTATGCTGGCGATGGACGGATCTGTGGTGAGGATTCGGATTTGGATGGCTGGCCTAATAATAACTTGGTCTGTGCTGCTAATGCAACATACCATTGTGTGAAGGTAAGTAAAAAAAGGTTGATAAAAGTGCCATAACAAAATTT